GCTGTGCAGAAAGCTTAGACTGATGTAGTCCCTCTTGTTTATTTTTGCTTGGTAGTGTCAAATCAAGACAATAGTTCCAAGATCAATGTCAAGGAGCTTTTCCCTTGTTTTCTTCTAGGACTTTTATGATTTCATGACTTACATTTAAGCCTTTTTTTTACTTTAAAGATTTTATTTATTTATTTATTTGACAGACAGAGATCACAAATAGGTGGAGAGGCAGGCAGAGAGAGGAAGAGAAGCAGGCTTCCTGCTGAGCAGAGAGCCCAATGTGGGGCTCGATCCCAGGACCCTGGGATCATGACCTGAGCCGAAGGCAGAGGCTTTAACCTGCTGAGCCACCCAGGCGCCCCACATTTAAGCCTTTAAAAATCCACTGGTTGATGTAAGCTACATCCCCATTCTCCATCTCTATCTTATCTCTCCAACAGATGCCCCCAGTGATGTCCATAAGGTGATCAGGGGAAGGACAATATGGTCAGACCACAGCTGTTTCCTTACCCTTCTAATGTGGTCCTTCTTGGTCTCTGTGGACTAGGAGGGTGTATTAACATCATCCCTGGGTCTGGGATTTTCACAATGGTGTATTCTCTATAGCTAGTGGCTAGAGAGACTGAAGCTGTAACAACTTATGCCAGTCAGCTTGATTGGAAAACTTTTCTGTACTAGTTTCTGGTCTTCTTGTTTGTGCCTTTAACACCAGTTTATGGGTCCTTTTCTCATTAATAAAATAAAACACAAAGGAATATAAAAGAAACAGATTATATTAAAATAGTTAATATATTTTTTAAAAGTGACATTAACAATAGATATGCATCTTGATTAAAGCATTACAAAATAAGATCTAGTGGTAGTTTTAATAACTAGTGTAATTTTGAAGTATTAATGAGTTTAAGTAATATTTCAAGATACCTGTCTCAAATGTAATGTGATACGAAAATATTTATTATTTCTATAAGTGAAAAGTTAGAGGTACTATTAATGCTACTTTGGTATGTTACCTACATTGTTAACCAAATGAAATACTAAATGTTAATTTAAAGTTTAAAAAATTAAATAAAAATTAAAAAAATAAAGCTACAGTTAAAGTTAAACAAATAAAGATACAGTATTTTTCATATCTAAGTTCAGGAGCCTCTGAATTCTATTAACCCCAAAGGGGGGATTTGAATCCTTGGTTAAAAACCTCTGCTCGATACATATCTTTGTAAATTATTCTGCAGTTATATTAAATTGACTTCTATGTTAATCATCCTATTTTCTATATATGTTTTGTGAATATGACTATAATCTCCCTAGCAACACAATTTCCTCAGCATTTAAGAATCATTTACATGGGGGCACCTGGGTGGCTCAGTGGGTTAAGCCGCTGCCTTCGGCTCAGGTCATGATCTCAGGGTCCTGGGATCAAGTCCCGCATCAGGCTCTCTGCTCAGCAGGGAGCCTGCTTCCCTCTCTCTCTCTCTGCCTGCCTCTCTGCCTACTTGTGATCTGTCCCTGTCAAATAAATAAATAAAATCTTTAAAAAAAAAAAGAATCATTTACATGCACTAACGTTCTAAAGTAAAACACACTTTTATTTTTCCCTTAACATTTGAATCATTTTTTTGCGAGTGCTGGTTTCATTTCTTTGTCGATGTTCTATATGTAAGTAGGCCTATAAATATTTGATTTTTACCCCCAGTAGTCTGAAAACACTGGTTTCAGATTTTTTTTTCCTCAGTAGATCAAACTGAAATTACACTGACAGACTTTCAAAGCTGAAATAATAACTCTAAGAATCACCAAAATTTAGTTCACATTATTTGGACCTAACTCATAATTATATATATTAAAAGCTCCCCAACAAGCTCAGAATATGGTATACTTTTTTAAATGTTTCCATGTGTTCCTGTATTTTAGGACATCTCAACATCTTCCACACAATGAAATCAGTTTCTAGCTTAAATTTATATATTTTGAAATAAGGAAAACATTGGTATTCTTATTAATAACCTGATATTTGGGCTTGCTCTTGCTGATTAAACTAGATAGATAGATAGATAAATAGATAGACAGAGTTTTTTAAATAAGATATTCATCCTGCTAAGTAACTAAAATATATTAGTTGTCTGGTTGGAAAGAGCCTATTGACCTATACTGGAGAGATAATACTAGTGTTAACTCTGTGGGAAGCAGTGTGTCCTTAATTGTTTTTTGTTGTGTTTATTGTTATGAGGAGACAAACATCTCCTGTGAGCAATATACTATGATTATGCATGGATAGAATTTAGCACTGTAATCAAACAGAACTTACAACAAAGTTAATCTGATGATACATATTTAATGCTATGCATTATCAATGTGCTAAATGGTAATTAGAAATAAATTGTAAACAGCTCCTGTGAATGACAAATTGGTATTACTTTTGCATCACTGAAGCAAATGTTTCTGGGATGGGAGGGAAAAAAAAGCAATAGTGATTTTAGTCTTTTCTCTTGCCTCAGAAAAGCAGTCACCTTTGTGTTCTGGCAAACTGAGTAACGGTTTCAATCCAGGACCTTCCTCCTTACCAAAAGATACTCAGATGTTTGATTTGTCTGGATAAACATACCACTAACTTCAATAACTCACACTGAGTTATGTATCATCTGTGCTTATATCAAAGTGGCACAATTCTAATCACATATACTATTAAATTACATGTTAAGTTGTTTTCTCCTACAAGCAGAATGAAAGAAATGATTTTTGACTGAGCAAGGTAAGGAATAAGAGGAAATTTCAGAGAGTCTGACATTGAGAAGAAAAGCAATCTGGCTTAAAAAAAAAGTCCTCAGTGGTATGCTTTCAACAAAAAGAAGGCACAAAACTTGTGGGGCAAAGGATGCAAGGGGTAAAACACATGAATATGTAGGGGAAAAAAAGAAAGAGATAAAGGTTTAGAAAGTGAATGAAAGTCTAGAAAAAAGGAAGAGATGATACAAGCCCAGTTCAACCCAATTCACAGCAAACAGGAATTAAATGGATGCATCTGGTATAATATGCACTAAAGGGGCCTGGCAGGAGCTATACTTTATGATTCTCCATCACTCATCTTCCTAAATAATACTGTGATTTCAAAAGCAGTTGCTTTCACTGCATAGTGGGTATAATTAAACCAGCAAATTCAAGAATTTATACATAATTTATTGTCATCTCCAAATTGAAAGCAATCCATTCCTCCAAACTGGACCAGGCTTACCCAATTTAAAGAGAAACAAATAGGTATTGTTTATGCTACAAAATAAAGTGAAATAGAAAAAGAATCTCACATAATAAATGTCTCTCTATATATTTTAAAAGCTTGTTGCATATTAGAAGGATATTCATAAGTGAGAATCTTTCTCTGGTTCTTATATTCCCTGAAGAGTTGAAAATATTACTTAAAAAATAATGTTTTGAATGTTACTGCCAAATAAAGACCACAGCAGCATTCTAAATAATTGCATTCTTTTTTCTTTACCAAAGTATGTGAAGGAAAAGCTATATAGTTTTCACGGGTAAAATAAATGGCTAAATTAATTATTCAAAATACGATTCTATTTAACTATAATTTAATTACAGAGAAAAGACTAAAAAGGTTTGGAGTCAGAAATTTCTTTGTCTCTTTGGATCTTAAAATTAAACTGTCCAATGAAAAAAGAGGGAAAACTAAACCTCGTTTAGGCTTCATTCCTCACTCATTCTAACTATTTGTGCAAAGAATCATGGGACTTAGGCAGAACAAATATGATCAGCTCTCCATCTCTACTCAGAGAAACGTGAACTTGCTAGTTGGACAGAAAACTACCTTTTTTTAAAAACTTTTCCACAGGGAGATTTATCAAAGTGTAACTCTTACTGAGATTAAAGTGTAACTCTTATTGAGATTAACATAAATATGTCATGATAATAAAGAGCCTACATAAACCCATTAAACCTTAGCCCTAGAAAATAAATTTCTATTTATCTAAATTTATAATATAATATCTACATTTAAAACATTTACATGAGGTAATCTGTAACACAAGCTTACATTACAAAATGAAGGAATTTCCATATAGACATAGCCTGCTCAAATGATAGACACTTGACAGACACTGGTACTCTGAAATTCAGACAGTCTAAGGGCAGTATGGTAAAACTCTCACAGCATAAACTACTGTCTTTAAAATCAAAGCAACCTTTATGGCTTAAAAACAAAAACCAAAAAAACCCTACAATGACTATGCCTTTATAAGTAAAATCTTAACAGTTCTTCCTTCCAGAAATTAAACTAGACAGGAACAGACATATCAAGAATTGTAATAATATGTTAGATCTTGTACAGTGCTTTATTCTACAGAGCACATCATTTGGTTTAATACATTTGTATTCTCAGACGTGGCAAGAGAGATTTAGCAAGCTAAATAACTGGCTCATGGAAGGCAGGATAATGGAACAGAACAGAAAAAGCAATAGATTTGGAACTATGAGAGATCTTGTTCCAAATTCCAGCTCTGCTACTCTGCCACTTACCATCTATGTGATACTGGGCTATCTCCTTAAGCCTCAGTTTTCTTTTCGGTAACATGAGGACAATAGTATGTACCTCATAGGACTGTTGTTAATAGGATTCAATGAGATAAAATACATAAAGGGCTTGACACAATTCTTAGCACATGTTATGTGCCTAATAAAGAATAACTTTAACATCTACCAATTGGTCATCAAAAAGGTATTTAACCTTTTGACCTTCCTGCTATTACCTTCATAAAACTGTAGTAATAATATTTACTTAACAGAGTTGTTGTGACATGCAATTTTATGTACACTGAATGATAGGCAGAAACAAACCAAAAACGCAGATCTTCTATGTTGAATACTCTTACGGGTAACAAAGCTAGATACTCCTGATTCTATTACTGAAAAACAGAAGAAAATTTTCTCACAACTACACTGAGAAAATAACAAACTAGAAATACCTGAGAAAATGAATTTTAAAAGGAAAATATGCAAGTTACCTGAATTAAGGCTTCATTCAGCATGTCTTCATTAACCTCCAGAATAATATTTTTTATATCTTCATATGGCATACGATATGATCCTAGGAAAATAGCTTAAAATAAAAGTAGATTTTATTAAAAATAGAACAGTATCAAAATTTTACAGCCCTTATAAATATCTTATTGTCATTTTCATAGAATCAAAATATGAAATTTGTCACCAATATTAATTTACAGTTAGGAACAAACGAATGTAGTTTCCATTTGAGAGACTGACTACTCATCTAGGCAAAATGGCCTATTATTCCAGCCTCTGATGTTTACAGGTTATACATATTTATATATAAATTAAAACCCCTACTAATAATGCTGATGACTACATGCTTATGAATTTTAGATCAAGCTGATACAACATGACTAATGAAAGATTTTATTTCAAGTTGGCCTTTTAATTCAACATTGAATTTAATATGGCTATTGTCAGATGCATACAACACAGTACTTCTCAGGAATGACAGTAAAGTCAGCAAATAAGAAAAAAAAATCGTATCAATCTACTTTGCAATTCTCCCACATAAGAAAAAGAGTGTCATCAGTGTTATCTGAATTCCTGCTGAAAATCGTGTGGTATAGTATTAGTAGCTCTATATTTTCATAATTTTCCTTCTCAATTTTTTCTCAATTGGATATATATTATGTCATACTGAAGTAAGTCAGCAGATTACACTGACAAAAGCTTACACTAATTCAGAAAGTATTTTTTAACAACACATTCCACTTTAACTTCCACAAAACACACATTTTAATAAACATTTATGTTTTTATCCCCAGAACATGAATATATTCCTCTGATTTTTTTTTTTTCATCTAAAGGTCTCTATGATTTCATTGGAGATTAAAGGAAAAACCAATCCTCACGGTCTAGGCAAATGATTATCTAGACATAAACACCAAGTGAGAACTCCATAATCGAAATAAATAATGTTGACAGATATCAACTAGCAATTAAGATCACACTGTTTTTTTTAACTACTGAGCATTCACTATAAAGAAAACGTACTCTCAGTTAAGCAATGTACACATTCACAACTATTAGAAGACTTCTGACAGCAACATTCCAACTCACAGGAGAATGATGATTTGTTTATTTTAATCTGATCCCTTAACAAAGGGATCTTAACAAAATAAACTCCCATGGTATTTCCTTACATAATTACAAATGCTTGATGTGATGTAATTTCTCATGCATAGTGTTTGAGTATCCTCAGAATATAAACATAGTCTACACGGTGGTTAAAAAAAATGCTGAATTCAATAGAGAGGGGAGAATATGCCAAAATAAAATCTAAGGCCTAGTTAAATAAAGATGGGTTTAGGGCGCCTGGGTGGCTCAGTGAGTTAAGCCACTGCCTTCGGCTCAGGTCATGATCTCAGGGTCCTGGGATCGAGTCCCACATAGGGCTCTCTGCTCAGCAGGGAGCCTGCTTCCCTCTCTCTCTTTCTCTTTCTGCCTGCCTCTCTGCCTACTTGTGATCTCTGTCAAATAAATAAAAATCTTTTAAAAAGATGGGTTTAACTGTCCAGCTGCTTTAGCAAAAACATATTTAATGGTTGACTGATTTGTTAAAGGCTTTAAGGTTCACTAAACACTTTAACTTTTATTTACATTTAGTTAACATAAAGTACAATACTGGTTTCAGGACCAGAATTCAATAATTCATCACTTACATACAATACCCAGTGCTTATTACAATGAGTGCCCTTTAATACCCATCAAATGTCTAACCCATGCCCCACCCTCCTCCCTCCATCAACCCTGTTTGTTCTGTATCCTTGAGTTTCTTATACTTTGTTTCCCTCTCTCCTTTTTTTTTTATTCCACTTCCCATATATTCATCTGTTTTCTTTCTTAAATTCCACATATGACTAAAATTATATGGAATTTGTTTTTCTCTGATTAACTTATTTCACTTAACATAATATATATAAGCTGCATTCACATCATTGGTAAGATTTCATTCTTTTTGATGGCTGAGTAATATCCCATTACATAAACACACACACGCGCGCACGCACGCACACACACATATAATCTTTATCCATTCACCAGTCAATGGACATCTTGGCTCTCTCCTTAGTCTCCTTAGTCTGGCTACTGTTGATACCAGGGTGCAGGTACCTCTTCAAATGTATACTTTGTGTCCTTTGGGACACAAAAGCTGGATCTTGGGCTAGTTTTCCTAACACCATTTGTTGAAGAGACTGTCTTTTCTCCATTGGATATTTGTTCGTGCTTTCTCAAAGATGCAGTGACCATGTACTTGTGGGTCCATTTCTTGGTTTTCTATTCTAATCCATTGATCTATGTGTGTAATTTTGTGCCAGTACCATACTGTCTTGACCACTACATCTTTGTTATGTAAATTGAAATCTGGAATCATGTTGCCTCCAGTTTTTTCTTTTTCAATTTTGCTTTGCCTATTCAGGGTCCTTTGTGCTTCCATACAAACTTTAGGATTCTTTGTGAAAAATGATACTGGTATTTTGATAGGGCTTGCATTAAATGTGTAGATTGCTTTGGGTAGTATATATATTTTAACAATGTTTGTCCTCCCAATCCATGAGCATTGAATGCTTTTCCATTTCTTTGTGTCCTCTTCAATTTCTTTCATAACCGTTCTATAGTTTTCAGAGTACAGATCTTTTACTTCTTTAGTTAGTTTATTCCTAGGTATCATGGCTTTTGGTGCAATTGCAAATAGGATTGGTTCCTTAATTACTTTTCTGCTGCTTCATCATTGGTGGATAGGAATGCAGTGGATTTCTCCAAGTTCATTTTAAATCCTGGAACTCTGCTGAATTCATGTATTGCTTCCAGCAATTTCTGGTGGAAATTTCAGGTTTTCTACATAGAGTATCACGTTATCTGAAAATAGTGAAAGCTTGACTTCTTCCTTGTCAATTTTGATGCTTTTTATTTCTTTCTGTTGTCTGATTACTGAGGCTAAGACTTCTAGTACTATGTTAAACTGTAATGGTGAGAGTAGACAACCTTGTCTTGTTCCTGACCATAGAGGAAAAGCTCTGTTTTTCCCCATTGAGGATGTTATCACCTGTGGGTCTTTTGTATATGGCCTTTATGATATTAAGTTATTTTCCACCCATCTTTACTTTGTTGATGGTTTTTAATCAATAAAGGATGGCATATTTTATCAAATGCCTTTTCTGCATCTATTGAGATGAGTGGTTCATATCCTTTCTTTCATTAGTGTGGTGTATCACAGTGATTAATTTACAAATATTGAAATACCCCTGCAGCCCAGGAATAAATCCCACTTGATCATGTTGAATAATTCTTTTAATGTACTACTGAATTAAATTAGCTAGTATTTTATTGAGAATTTTTGCATCCATATTCATCAGAGATATTGGCCTGTGATTCTCCTTTTTAGTATAGTCTTTGTCCAGTCTTGGAATCAAGGTCATGCTGACTTTTTAGAACAAGTTTGGAAGTTTTCCTTCTATTTCTATTTTTTGAACCAGTTTAAGAATAGTATTAACTCTTCTTTAAATATCTGGTAGAAGTCCTCTGGGAAGCCTTCTGGCCCAGGACTCCTGTTTGTTGGGAGATTTTTGATTAATGATTCAATTTCATTGCTAGTTAAGCGTCTGTTCAAGTTTTCTATTTCTTCCTGTTTCAGTTCTGGTAGTCTGTAAGTTTCTATGAATTTCTGCATTTCTTTCAGATTGCCCAGTTTGTTGGCATGTAATTTTTCATAGTATTGCCTTATAATTGTTTGTATGTCTAAGTTTTTGTCTCTGAGCTCTCTTTGGTCATTTGTTATTTTATCTGTTTGGTTTCTCTCTCCCTCCCTCCCTCCCTCCCTCCCTCTCCTTCTCTCTGATATGTCTGACTAGTTTTATTGGGTCTTTCAAAGTAGGAGTGCTTAGTATCATTGATCTGTCCTACTGGTTTTTGTGTTGTTTTTCTGTATCATTGATTTCGCTTATAATCTTTATTAATAATTTCCCTTATTCTGCTGGATTTAGGCTTTTTTTCCTGTTCTGTTTTTAACAGCTGCAGGTGTAAGGTTAGGGTGTGTTTGAGACTTTTCTTGTTTCTTGAGGTAGATTTGTATTACAATGTATTTCCTTCTTAGACTGCCTTTGCTGCATGCCAAAGTTTTTGTAGTGTCATGTTTTCATTTTCATTTGTTTCCATGTAATTTTTTTTATTTCTTCTTTAATTTCCTAGTTAACCTATTCATTCTTTAGTAGGATGTTCTTTAACCTCCATGTATTTGTGTTCTGAATGTTTTCTTGTGATTGACTTCAAGTTTCATAATGTTGTGGTCTGAAAATATGCATGGTATGACCTCAAACTTTTTGGACTTCTTGAGGCCTCATTTGTGACCCAGGATTTATCTATTCTGGAGACTGTTCCATGTAGACTGAAAAAGAGTGTGTATTCTTCTGCTTTAGGATGAAATGTGAATGTAACTGTGAAGTCCATCTGGTCCAGTGTGTCATTCAAAGACATTATTTCCTTATTGATTTTCTGCTTAGATGATCTGATCTGTCCATTGCTGTAAGTGGGGTGTTAAAGTTACCCACTATTACTGTATTATTATCAATGAGTTTCTTTATGCTTATTATTAATTGATTTATGTATTTGGGTGCTCCCAATTTGGGGGCATAAATATTTATAATTGCTAGATCTTCTTGATGGTAGAATCCTTTTTTATGATATAATGCCCTTCTTCATCTCTCGTTACAATCTTTGCTTAAATATCTAGTTTCTCTGATTATGTATGGCTACTCCAGTTTTCTTTTGACATCCATTAGCATGATAGATGGCTGTCCATCCCCTTACTTTCAATTGCAGGTGTCTTTAGGTCTAAAATGAATCCCTTGGAGGGAGTATATAGATAGATCTTGCTTTTTTTAATCCATTCTGATATGCTGTCTTTTTTTTTTTTCCAAAAAAAGTCACTGTTCAAATTTTATTTGGTATTTTAGTTGGTATGACACTTAGTTGGTTGCATGGTCTTTTTACACTATATGGCAATGTACACTAAATTCTGACATACATGGTATATGAAGTAAGATCCTTTGGAACAGTTATGCACAATACATGCAATAATGAATTTATACGTTGGAGCCCAGGGTATGACTGACTGGGAAAGATGAACTAGGCATGTTGGGTGTTGGGTGAAGGAACCAGAAGTCATAGAACACACAGGAAATATGCATCTGGTTTGAAGAGCACCCGCTGCACTGATATGCTGTCTTTTGATTAGAGCATTTAGACCATTTACTTTCAGAGTGATTACTAAAAGATAGTAATATAGTGTCACTGTATTACCTATAGATTTGGTGTTTCTAGGGATGTTCTCTGTTCCTTTCTAGTCTTTGTTGCCTTCCCCCCCACCCTACTCCAAGATTCCCCTTTAAGATTTCTTGCAGGGCTGGTTTACTGGTCATGAACTCCTTTAGTTTTTGTTTGTCTGGGAAACTCTTTTATCTCTCCTGTTCTGAATGATAGCTTTGCTGGATAAAGAATTTCTGTTTGCATAGTTTTCCCATTCAGCGCATTGAATATAGCCTGCCACTCTCTTGTGATCTGCCATGTTTCTGTGGACAGATTTGCTGCGAATGTGATCTATTTTCCTCTGTAGTTTAAGGACTTTTTTTTTTTCCTTTACTGCTCTCAGGAATCTTTTTTTCTGTATTTTGTGAACTTGACGATTATATGCCTCGGCAATGGTCAGCTTTTGTTAGATTTAATAGGGAATCTTTTGCTTCTCGGATTTTGATGTCTGTGTTCCCTAGGTTAGGATGTTTTTAGTTATAATTGAAACAAATAAACCTTCTGTCCCCTTTTCTCTTCCTTCATGTTCTGGGATTCCTTCCAAAAGGTAGTAGCTTTTCTAATTATTGACTTGCAGTTTTTGTTCTTTCAGACCTCCAATTATTTTCTTGAGCATTCAGAATGATTTGATAACTACCTAGCTGTGTTCAAAAGCCGTGACAAGCTTTGGGCCCCCCAACTCCTTTGCCATCTTAGTTCCTCCACCAGTTCACCGACCAGTTTTAAAGTGCAGTGGTTAACAATTTAACTCTCTAACATCACAATTACATAAACTATAAAGGAATAGCAATAAAAGCATTTGCCCAATGTGATCAGTGAATATACTCAGGTCTAGGCGGAAAGGGGGGAAATGACACTCTTGAACTCTGTGAGTGAACCTAATGTCTTACTCTGTCTTCTAACAGTGCTTAATTATCTGTATTTTCCAAAGCTTTATTATTCATGTTTCATCTGGCCTGAGGAAGACTAAATTATGATGGTTTCCATTCTGGCAAAATGACAAAAAGGCAACTCAAATCATGTTTACACACAATTTTGTTTCTAGTAGATGCTAAATATACTTGTTCAAATTAGTTACAACTTTGTGCAAAAATATTCATCACCACTTCATCACCACCAGCACCACCAACCCTTATACAGAAAATATCACATACACAGATTCTGGGCTGTTTTGGGATCCAAAATTCTCAATTCTTTCACTTTCTTCTTTGCAGGCAGGATCTTCTTTTCTTCTGAAGCTTCTACATTCTTTTGAACTAAAAGAAAAACGTTTATTCATAAACAATAATGGTATTAATCCAATCACATGAAATCAATTAGTAAGGCATATTAACTACATTAATAAAACTTATGCCAAAAATCAGGAAATGTGTTTATTTCATTAGTTCAAAGAGAATAAATATAATAATGTAGACCAATTTAGAGGTTACCCTACAAATCAAATTTCAGCACGTAAGCAGAAAAGATAAGCCAAATAGTACCAAAAATCAATTGCAGTTTCTTGCCTAATGTGCACCATTCACTACTCCTTTACCAGGTATCTACAGTAGCATTGGAATTAAATATATAGTAAACTCTCCCTAATTTGGATTGAGGAAAAAAGCAGTTATGCATTTATCCTAAAATATGCTAAAATTTAGAATGTCTTTAATTCAGTGGAATTGCTTTAAAGTATGTAAAGTAACTTTAACTGCTAAACAGGTTGTCATATAAAAATTCCTGCTGAGACTGCTTTGAAGAATAAATATGAACCATTTGCAAGTTGCACAACAACAGCACCATTTGCATGCATATAATTAATGAACTTCAAAGACTTGTTTTTTTTTTAATTATCTTTGTCTCCATAACAGTTTTTAGTACTATTTGCCTTATTAGAAGAAAATATTTAGTTATGTTCTGTTCAGAAGGTAGTCCTCTAGGTCTTAACAGTTCAAATGACCTGAAACTGTGAGAAGTAGCAGTGCCAAGGAGTGGCTTTAGCCCCACATAACCTCAATCAGCTCTACCTCAGAACACCCACCTCAAAAACCAAACTAAAAAACAATGTAGCTATCTCCTATGAAAATGAAGCTTTATGGCAAATCCCTAAACCCTCCTATACAAAAATTCCACAGCTACTATTGTACTCAGGTGTTGGCAATTTACTTCTTCTACTATAAAAATGGGGTTGTAAGTAATGGGACCATTAAAAAACATGAGAAAATAAAGCCAACACTGTTTTTTCATTCAAGTAGTGATATGCTTTTATCCCCAACTGTATGCTGCTAAACTTCAGAATCGAATTATATGACCATAATAATAATGCTTATTACTTTTAAAAATATAATTTCGAGGAAATCATTATTTTTATTATTTTAACTTATCTGATTTTTGTTAAAGAGATCACAAATGAGTTACTAATTTTATTTAGAGGAAAAGCAACACACAACTACAGTACATTTTTGCTAAGCGATGTGTTCACATGTTAGCATCTAGAAAACTTTCTATACATGTTATAGGATGCATCAAATACTGCAAGTCCATTAAGACCCCCCTTTGTATTAATGGTGTAAACTATAGGAAAATTAAATGAACTTCCCAGAAAAAATAACATAAAATTAATTACCTGAATAATTAAGTACTAACATTTAGTTCTAAGCTTTACCACTATGACTGATCTAAAGTGACACAGAGTCTAAGCAGACTACATAATAATTACATTTGAAAATCATGACCTCATGTCCAAACCATGCCCAGGTTAAGACAACTCTATATAAAAAATGACAGTCCAAAAATCATATCCTTTGTTAATTAAAAAAAAGTACCTGAATATTTTAATTACTTCTGGAATATCAGAAAAATTTTCCCAAAGAAATAGTCAAGAAAACTGTCCTAATCTCCCAATATGCCTCAAACCCCACTATGGGAGACTTGTTAACCAAGTACATATAGGATGAAAATGCTGTAGTGTAACAGATATTGTTAAGATTTTCTGCAAACTAACAAGACTCTGGAGTAACCCAGACATACATAATGATCATTTTGTATGACTTCATATTTTTTGCATTTTTTTTTTCATTAAAATATATTCAAACTTCTCCCCTTCTCAAATAAACAAGCTGTTTAAAATTAAGATTAGGCATCTTAAATATCCTAAATCCTAATCTATTTCTGTTGTAGTATGTAAATTGGCTTTATCTTAGGTTGAAGAAATGGTAAGACTTCCATGATTGGGCACTACTATTTTGAAAATTACTAGAGCAAAACTAATTTAAAATAGTTCCTTAACTAATCAGCCTTTCACAAACAATAAAGTTTTTGCCATGATCAGTGAATATTAACCAGTGGCTATTACTGCCTTTGGCTTTCTTGTCTTTGAAAGCATTCCCTACTGATCACAAGCACAGGCCTAGATAAATAGAGAATTTGAAGAGAGGTAATGACATATGAAACTTTGATCCGGATAGCACTGAAGTCTTCTTATATTAAAAATGTCCTGCTTTCATAAAGTTTCAAAATGTTACCTATCCTAGGATGCTTTTATTATATGTTTCAAATGCTTTAAAAAATTAAACATTCCATGATTTGATTAAAATATGGGCAATTATTTATTTATTTATTTGACAGAGAGAGATATCACAAGTAGGCGGAGAGGCAGGCAGAGAGAGAGAGGAGGAAGCAGGTTCCCCGCTGAGCAGAGAGCCCGAAGCGGGGATCCATCTCAGGACCCTGGGATCATGACCTGAGCCGAAGGCAGAGGCTTTAACCCACTGAGCCACCCAGGCGCCCCCAAATATGGGCAATTTAATAACTCAATTTAAGCCCAATAGACATTTCTCCAAAGACGACATACAGATGGCCAACAGGTATACGGAAATGCCCTCAATATCATGGGGGGAATAGGAATCAAAACCACAATGAGATATCACCTCACAGCTCTTTGAATGGCTCTTACCAAAACCAAAACAAAGTGTTAATGAGGATGCCGTAGAGGAATTGGAACACTTGTACATTGTTGGTAGAAATATAAAATGGTGTATCTTCTACAGAGAACACTATGGCGATTCTACAAATAATACAACTACCATATGATCTACCAATCCCACTTCTGGGTATATAAACAAACGAACTGAGACTCTCGAAGAGATACTGCACTCCCATATTTACTGTAGTATTATTCACAAAACAGCCAAGATATGAAAATAATCTAAATGTCCATCAAAAGATGAATGAATAAAGAAATGTGGTATATACATATAGTGAAATGTTACTCACCCTTTAAAAAAAAAAGGAAAGAAAATCCTGCCATATATAATAACACGGATTAACCTGGGGAACATTATGCTACTTAAAATAAGCAAGTCATAGAAATTAAAAAACTGCATAATTATGAAGCATCTAAAATGTCAAATTCAGAGACACAAAGAGTGAATTGTGGTTGCCGGGGACCAAGGGAGGCGAAGTGGGGAGTTGCTGTTCAAAGTGTATAAAGTTTCTGTTACATAAGATGAATAAGTTCTAAAGATCAGTGGTACAAAATTGTAGCTATAGTTAGTAAAAATAATACTGTATTGTGCACTTAAAACTTTGTGAGCTGGTAAATCTTATGTGAAAAGTGCTTACACCAAAAATATCATAATGTAAAAACTTAAATTATACTGATTTTGTTATCTGAAATTATTTGAATGGGACTGAAGAGTTTTTTTTTAAGTCTTAATACAAAAACTTCAGTAATTAATTTTATCATAAGTGGCCCTATGGTACTCATGTTCATAATGAGAACTATAATCAAATGTGATCTTTCCATATGCAAAAGAAAAACCATATAGCCACTGGTCTTGAATCTGATGAATTAATTTGAGTGCTTAAATTGTCACTGTTAATTGACCAAATAATAATGAAATATCATAAAATACTGTCTGTAGAAAGATAATGATATATAATAAAGACATTTGTATTATTATTAAATGTGTTAACAAGATATTAATTATATAAAAGTCCCATTAAGTATTCTTACATTTCCTTTTATATGTGGATTTTTATCTGCAATTGTTCTACAAATTTATTTCCTTACAATTGAGGGATGCTCACTGGTATAAAGTAAACATGGCTATAATCTTTTCCTGATCTAATTTAGGCAGTTTTCATAAATCCCCTATTAATTTCTGCTCCCAGTGGGTACATACAACATGTGACAAGATATCTGTAAGTTGTAGCAGATATTAAGATATTATAAATGGGTAACACTGAATGATTTACATAATGATAACTACTATAAATCACAATAAATTTTTATACCTACTTTATCTCAAAATTCCAGTGAGAAAGATTGATTCCTGGAGTCAGCATCAATATTATTAATCCATTCATTTATCCAGCAAATGCTTGTTGAAGACCTACTATGTGTGAGCCTAGGCACATGTATATAGACTTAAATGTCTACTCATTTTTTCTTACATATACGGTCATATGTAAACTACTAATTAGGGAAGTATCTCCAAAAGATATCTAACATTTATAATTTTCTTTAACCATAATAATATAGTTTGAATGAATATATGCATATCACTCAACAAATTCTTTTTGTTATTGGAAGTAATTTCATATTAACAAAACCTGTATCTTAAATCAGCATCAAGTGATGTATTAAATCATATTATAAGGAGTTATGTGGAGAAGTGAAAATATGACACTTCTTAGTAAGTATACTCTATACAAAACCAGGATAAATAAAGCCAGTAACAGTAGTATTAAAAAAAACACCTAAGAATATTTATGTAACTTTATTCATACATACATGTATATCCAACAAGTAAATGCCCAACTTGTTTTAGATATATTGATTTAAAAATTGTGATCTCTCTATATAAATAAATATTTTTCCATTTGTATGCATTCCAGAAATGATTCCAACTATATGGAAATAATTGTTCATGTATTAGTTGAAATAGGTGTTATACTTCAATAAATAATTTCATGTTAAAATGAGCTCAAGTATGAAAATGGCAGGCAGGGAAAATCTATTATTTCTGTGTCCAAAACAACTGAAAAATTCAGTGTACAAATACAACTGAAAGTGGTGAAAGGAATACATATATATATATATAACACTTTATAAGTGATATATATGCATAAGTGATATATATTAATATATGTATATATACATATATATATAGCACATAAAAGGGGAAAGTATAATAATAAGAACTACAACAATAACAGTGATAGTAGTACTAGTAGTAATAGTAACCATGATCACAATCATTGCAATCATCAC